TGGACGCTGAGTTCTAGGCCACAGCACAGGTATATAGTGTATACAAATACAAATGTACAGTTTCTGAGGTGTTTACTTTTTACTATTTATGTACACCGATCGGATACCGAGTAGGTACCTCCGTCCTACACTGCAGGAGGATTTTCGTAAATACAAAATGTCAATATTTATAAATCTTCTCGTGACTTGATAGTCCATGGGAATTTCTGAATAAACGCCTGCGAGATTTTCCTGATAAAATTAACCCATCCGATATCCGTAACTATACATTTATTGGCAACAGGGTGATTACGATTTTCTCATCACATTCTATTATTATTGAAGTCAAACTGTACGCAATCGCACGCATCAATTAATCACCGGAGGCGAGCACAAAACGTGAACAATGAAATCTTTTGGATACCTAGTGGTGTATTTCAGGTGGAATCCGAGGGCGTTTGTCGGGAAAATGTTTACAACCATCAACGTATAATTCGCTACTGACATCAATAATTATTAATAATTGTAAACGTAATTTTTCAATTATATTATGTTTTATTTAATAGACCTGCGATGTGTTCTTAACCTAACAATTAGAGATTAGAGTGAACTTTAATACCGTTCCATATTTTTAATTCTATAGACCGAGTTTTTGTCACCTTAAGATATTGTAAATTGCTTGTACATTTTAAAGGGCTCATAACTTGCTATAAAATGAAAACATGAAAAAAAAACCTACGAGAAAATATGTTTACTTCTAAATTTGATAATAGGTCAATTCACTGTAATAGTATTAAACATACCAAAGTTAAATGGATTATTCAGATCGTACAATTTGCCATGTTCGGTATGCGTTTGTAAGACGGAGAAAATGAATGCGGGTGTAGTGTTTTCTCTTAACGAGAAAAGTCCACGAAATCAGAAATATAATATAATATAGATATTATCACAGCATTTTATTCTTGATTTTACTACTGTTCTGCTTTGGATTAAAATAAATTGAATATTATTATTATATTATTCATCTTAGGAGCAATGCTCGATGAAATTCGATCATATCAGACATACGACACCAAAGTTCAATTTTCAAACGTATGTGATATACTTACTAAATAAGTACCATCATCTGCATTTTCAAAAAATATGTTATATGTTATATTATATATATATAATGTACAATAAATTATTTCATTCTGTGTATAAAAAATATGTACCTACGTAAAAAAAGAATTTCAATATTATAGTTTAAAAAAAATATCTCGAAGTTATGCAATGTATCAAATTTGACTTTTAATCAATAAGGATTTTCAAACTCTTATCTTTATTTTCAAGCTATCGAGTTCATTTATAGTACACAATTATACAGGAAAACTATAATATTTTAAATTGAGTAAATTAAATATAATTATCTACCTACGACCTACCTAACTCGGAATACATGGAACATTATAAAATACTTCTTTTAGGAAGTATATAACTATTCAAATCACACAATCACTATTATATAATAATAATTCAACTGACAAGATTTTTATAACTTAAATATGTAATTAGTTGCATAAACTAATTCTATTTTTTTTTATTTTAACCTCAGAAGTGTTTTATTTTGTGTGAGAAAAAGTATTATTTTTATTACTGTGAAGATTGCGTTTCATGAAACTCAATAATTTACCCGATGATATGAATTTTATATATAATCGTGTTATTAGTGTAGGTAATATAGAAAAATCATTATATCATCTTACAATAAGCTCCATTGTTTGGTTGATTAAATGTGTAACATCGAAGTAACGTGGGAACTAAGGAAAAATGACATGCACGCTAAGTTCATAATTTATTGTTTTTATACATAAAATGGTATTAACCTATAAAGTGCTATAAGTTAAATAACTATGCGATGCGTGGGCATAGTATACCACTATTTTATTATTTAGACATTTGATTATGTATACAAGTGTAGGTACTATATATTATCATAAACAAATATTTGGGAGTTAATTGATAATATTATTAATCTGATTCACGATTTACATTATATTTATGCAATAATGATTATCACTAGAATAACTGCTACGGTGATGTAAATAACGTTCATGTTCGATAGTCACGCGTATTGTATTTTGTATGAATAAATTGCTTGTCAACATTTTTATACAAAAGCCTTATTGTTCTTTCTTATTTCGGTGTATTTTGTCTAACAAGTTATGTGTGTTCACAGTCAAATTAACTAATTTTCGAATCTCACACATTTTAGTATTCACTTAGTATAGGTAAATATTAGTAGTATTAGTAGGCATCTGCCACCTATATACTTGGATACTTCAGCAGTATCGGCTGTAATTTGATAAACGGTGTAGGCGAAAGCTGTTACGATAGTAATAATAATAATAATAATAATAATAATAATAATTGAACAACACGGGTTGGTCGTAGACTGCTATCCCGTGAAATATATCTCAGGGTCAGGTTGAGCAAATGAAACGCGCGCCATTCGCGTACCTACAGTTAATCTACCATTGAACGTGTAGGTGATTAATAGTCAATTCCATAATAGATCCCTATTGGAATTTATCGGGGAAGACTGCACATAAAGTAATAATTTAACGAGAGAAGCATGCGGAAATTACGACTATGCGTTCCCTTGGCCTGCCAGTTTTACGAATTTATGACGTCACGCGTATACAATGTGATTATTTTATCTGCTTATTTTCCGATTGCACGACGCGAAATGTAAAAAATACGAAATAAAGGAAACCCAACCGAAACAATAAGATAGGTCACACGATCCGCTCGGCGGCGGCAGCAATCTATATGTGTAATATATAAATGTATGTGTACAATGTATATTGTATAATGTATGCATTCCAATGTTCGGGGGGTAAACAAACACTATAGAGTCGTGCATATGTGCGGTACAAACACGAACCAAAACGGTCGGGTGGGGGGGGGGGGGTGCAAAAAGTCATGACAGCGGCGGCGTCGGACGAGAATACTACCCTTGTCGCTTCGGGAAAACAAACGACATGCGGCGGCGAGTTGCAGGGAATTTGCTAGGGTAGTGGAACGCGAGTTGGATGCGAGGGAAAGGCAAAAATCAAATGGGCTGGTGAGAGGTATTTCTAAACGACTCTTTTTTTATATTATTATTCTGAAATCGTGCCAGGAATACACGCGAGCACGTTTCCTTTTTTTTTTTTGTCCGTTAAGTGAAATAGCAAATTATTTAATCAACGAGCGACCATATATGGAATAATGTTTGGTTTATTACATAAACATTACTATTACACCGCTTTGGTGAACATTTTTAAAATACATTTATCACGAAGGAAAGATGTTTGTAGTTTTCATAGTGGTTATGGACTTATGGTACGACCTAGGGTTATATTTTTAAAAAAGATTTACTTAATATGTTTGTACTCTGTAGATACGAACTATTATTGCACTATCGTTTAGTTTGAGAACAAATATAATATGAGCTTTGCATTCAAGTATTTAATTTCATATATTTAGATATGAAATCTAGCAAATAAAAGAACAATAATAATCATAGCCAATGTAAAGGCAATAGTTAAAAATAACATACGTATGTCATTTTTTAACAAGGTAAAATAATTTAGTACTTAACTTAACCTTACCTTCCCTTACCTACCTTACCTTACGTTTACTTCAAAATTGCTATTTATGTCCCGGTATAAGTAAATAAACCATATATTTCAACTCGTTATGTGTTTAAAGATAATATCTAAATATACGATATTTTAGTATCTATAATTACACTTTTTACAAAAATAAAATTTAAGCTGTAATATTTTTATCAAATAAAAGAAAAAATATAAAATATACAATAATAAATGTAATATTATGTAATTGATATTATTATCAATGTCTAACGATAATTTTTTCTTTCTATAAATTTTTTATATTCAATAATTTAGTGTCTCATAGGCAATTGTAGTTTTATTCAATATGCATATAGTATTCTAATTATCTTTATTTTATTTTTAGTCAAAAGAAGTTAGTATATTATGACCAAAATGAATTTAGTTAATTGTTTTGTATACATTAGGAAATGCTAAACAGGATAATTAAATTAAAAATATTAGTATGTAAAGTTATAAACAAGTTTTTTTATGTCATGTTTAAATAATCAAACAATGTCAAGGTCATCAATGTCGATGGTTTCTAATAAATTGTTAGTGTGTAATGTTATATTGTTCACTGATATTATTATTACGCAATTATTAAAGAAATATATTTTTATATACCTACTAATGGAGTCTTTCTGTTTAAAGTTTAAACGAACAACTTAGGTATTTACAGTAATTTATATTTATTAGGTACTTTAAAATTCTAAAAGAAGCAGTAAATCTATTGGCTTTTTTACATTATCAACGTGTTTTATTCTTTGACAACACTTTTGAAAGCATTAAATGTATGTTTTAGTAATCCCCGAAGTTCTATTCACAAACAAAATTTAAATAATGATTTCTTGCCTCTAAGTTGAAAATAATAACTCAGCTCTAATGGACTAAGAGTCTAAAAAATAACACCAGTTTCTGTATTCTATCAGACTCTTTTTGTATTTCACGTAATTAGTAATAACATTTTTGATTTTGTAAATTTTGGATTCTATGATTTATGTTTATTTTTATTTTTTTATTTCAATATAAGTACGATTTATACATTTTATTTTTGTACAATTAGCATATTTTTTTGGCTATTTTGGCATAGTTTAGTCTCGAGAAAAGAGTTAAATGTAGCGTCATTTTAACCTGTGAAGTTTTACTGAATGATTCGTAGTATCACTTCCTTTGAAACGACCGCTAGGATTTTTTATTAAATTGGAAATCGTAAAAGGTATTAGGTACTAATTTGGTTCTTACATTTGAAAATCTTGTTAACGATCGAGTTGTAGTCTTGTAGATTCGTTGAAAATACCTTTAATTATACACTTATACAAATCCCTCCGACAAATAAGGTTATGTATTTAAGTCTTTAAACAAACAATTTTGTGATTTCAGAATATATTGGAGAAGTTCAATCCAGGTGCCCGGCAAATGATTAATGCAGGAAAGGCATATCTGAAAGCACTTCACGGTGAGTTATGATATTTTATGTTTTGGTAGATTAATGAGTTAATTATTTTTCAAATACGTTTTTACAGACTATTATTTTACATGATAATTGTATTTTTATAACATATTTACATCATATTATACTGTATAGGTAATAAATTATAATATAAAATTAATACATTTATTGTGGTTAGAATAGAATTGGATAATGATTAATAACATTCTTTAATTAATTTATGTATTTATAAACACATTATAAAAACTAACTGGTTACATTATATTTTAACGTAAGATAGTATTGAAATTTTACAAACTGTAACATACTATATTATTGAAAGATTTTTTTTTCATTATTTTAAATAATATTAATAATGGGAATATCAAATAAAGACTTAGTTGCTAAATATTTATTTTTTGTATACAAATCACAATTCTTAATGGTGACGTATTAGTGTACAAATTAAAATAAACAGATACTTACAAATGTACCTATACTAACCTTTATTTTTGGAGAGTTTACCATATTAGGAAGATTAATACAATATACGTTATGGCTTATGAGATTAGCTAACAACTTTAGTTCAAAATTCAATTTTCAAATCTACATTTTCAAACAATCCAAAAATATAATAACAAGTATTTAATAATCTTAATTCTCTCATTATAATGTTATTTAACTTCAATGTTTATTTGAACTGAGAAAGCTTGATTTTAGTCTGTAAACATAATGGAGAAGTTGATAGTTACGTAACATGTTAATAACTCTCAATAGAAAAAAACTTAATCATATACATACGACGAATTAGATAAGTAGTTGATTTCTAATTGATTGTTATAACTTTTGTGGTATAAGAAAATTGACTAATCGACAATATGGTTCTAAAGTTTGTATTTTGGATTAATAATTTAGAGAATCTAAACTGCGAAAATCGAAGGTAGATAGTATCAAAACATTTCGAATGAAACATAATTTTGTCCTATACCATTGATCATAATTAGCCAAAACAACAATAACGATTAATACAAATATATTCCAACATAATGGTCACATTATTTCAATCTATGATATAGAATACATTTTGAACATGAAACATATTATATTACGACCAACTGCTAATATAATAAAGATAAAGAAAAAATCTTTTTCTTCGTATTGAAATGGTACAAATAGCAAGATATAATAATGGATTTACTGTGTTCACGTACGATGTGCAGGCGAATCTTAAAAATTTGATCATCCACAGTGGTAAAACAGCCTGTTTAACAGTGGTATAAGCGCATAGGCTTATAATACATGCCGGCAAATTGTTCTCGGGATTCGTATTATGATTGGATTCAATACAGTTTCAAGTGGTGCATTTCGCGTAAACAAACGGCACCCCGTCGTCAGGCGCTGCTCTTTTAAATATTATTTCCTCGTTCGTCAATAAGTAGGTACTGTTATAGAAACAAAAATTAAATAGGCGTACAAATAATATCATATCTTGTATTATAAATAGTTATTATTTTTAGAGTTACATATTATACTTCCTCTCTGGTCGTCACTGCAGTTGTAGGAAAACGAACGTTATAGGCCTATAAATATTGGTATAATATATCGATATTATTTAAATACGTATATATTATATATATATTGGAAAAATACATTGGCCGAACAATAACAGTATAATATTTTCTATACGTTATTCACATTCATTTTCTCGGGACCAGACTCGGCGTTGGTACAAACGGTTGCCGTTTGCGTGTGAGAGAAAACACAGACACATCATAAATATTTATCAACATCACATGATTGATGACACGCGTGCATATCGTATGCACGAGCGTCTTTATCGTACTCCAGAGTTAATGTTGTCATTGGTCAGGATAGGGTGGAGGATGATTGATATATTCACTGTGTTTGTATTATTATTATTATTATTATTATCCTACGACCCCCGTCTGTTCCACAGTAAACTTTTTTCTTTCTCGAAATGTTGTCAAAAGTACTACAAATAATATTATCATTTTCAAGGGCACTTTTGTCATTTACTCCTTTCGCATTTAGACTCTACAAATGATTACGTAGGTATATCATGTCGACTTTATTTATAAAAAAAAAATCAATGAGATGTATAGAAAATTTAAAAAAAAATACTCTTGTATACATTTTTAAATATGCAATTTGCAAAACCAATTAATATAAAAACAATAACACTTCAGAATTATAAGGATTATTTTTATAGTTTAAACTTTATTTAGAGAAATAAAAACATGTAAAATAATGAATTAAAAATATAAATATGTATATTTATTAGACAAAGGCAAAACAACTCTATATTACTATTCTTTATTATCTTAAGTGAAAATTCACCGGGAGTTAAAAGCGCTTAGCTTTTTCAAACTCAGCATTTTCCTGAATTTGCTATTCAGTATTATAAATAAATTTTAAGCATTAATTAATATTAAAAGTACATTGAAACGTTTCACTATTTACCACTTAATCATGGAAATGTAATAAGCAAATTTAAAATATCGTTTTATACTATGTATAATTATTATCAAGTCACGGCATAGGCCAATAATTGACCAATTATTGTATACTTATATATTAATTTATTTTATTTTATATGATAAATAGTAAATTAAAAATATAATAATGATAGTAGTATTGTATTTGAGTATGTGTTATATGTACTAATTTATTTTATACATTTTCGGACTTGTGTGTTGAACACATCGTTAAATTATTTGTACGTATAATATATGATATTATACAAAGTGTTAATGGTGGAGCTTTTGAAAATGTTTAAATGTTAATTTGTCGTAAATTTTATCAAAAGTTTGTAATTAATTGCACATACGGCGATAGTTATAACCATTGATTGTAAGTATCAATTAGTAATTATAGGATAGTTGCAACAAAATGAGAACTAAGTACTAAGTATTTATGCTGATCTATTGTAAATCGATTAGTGGTTATGGTCAATGTATTTCATTTGATATTGTGGTAGTAAAAACTTATTTTTCAATAATAAAACACGAATACATAGGAAAAAGATATGTTTTAATATAGTATTTAGTGTTGAATTGAACATATTATTTTTGAAAGAAATGTATTATTATTTTTCGAAATTGTAATTTTTATTATATCTAAAGTCTAAATACATTTTTATATTATTAAAAAGCCAATACTGAAAAAAAATAAGTTTGGTGGAATAGATCGAAAATATTAAGTTAGACATATAAAAACCTGGATTTAAATTTATTTATTTTATCATTATTATTTGTAATTTTAAAACCCAATATAAATTCATATAACATCTTGTTCATGCATATTAAAATGTATAATAATTAGATTTCAATATTTAGAATGTTTGACTTTAGTTATAATGATCATAGCGGAAGGTAATTTATAATTTTTCATACGAAGAGAATCAAACATTTTTGTTGCTACAAAATATTTTTAATCATATTTTTCAAAACTGTTTCAATAGCTATTGTTCTGCCTGGTGCATTTAATCTAAAATGGTTCACTTATTGTGTATTTGTCTTGTCCCAAAAGTATGTATGACAAAATATAATTTGTGGTTTTATATAGGTAATTGTTACAAAATTATAAACTAAGAAACAATTCTTTAGTTACTAATGAACATTTTTCTAACTCTTTTGAATAGTTTGAGGTCTACTGTGATGTATTAAGTTTGAATTATATTATAATTATGTGAAAAGCGGGTAACTGAGAATAGAAATAATTGGAATACGTGTGTCAATGTGAAAGGAAAAAGGGGTTGGGAAAATTGACGCGGAAAAAATTCTACTACTTTTGATTTAAAAAGCTTTTAAGCTGTCAAACTTTACCAAAGCGCAATAAACAAAGTTATTTTTTAAGGGCAGGAAAAAAATAAATGCTTTTATGTTTGTAATTTTCATTAAAGACAGTATCAATTGGTATTCTCAATTTAAGGAAATAATCGTCTCAAAAGTTTTTATTGCTTCAATCCAAATTAAACATTTTTAAATAATTTCAACAGAAAAAATCTTAACAATATTTAAACTTTAAATACTTTAAACACTTTTGCATTGTATCAATAATACTTGATTAGATTAACACGATATTAAAAATAACTACCCACCGTATCAGCTTAGCAAACCTTTCAAACTATTTCTCAAATACACACTTATCGAGTGAAAATGAATTATAATTTTGATTCTGTACCTACTCGAGATCCGAGTGATTGAATCATATTATTATATTCAATTAACGTTTACAGTAAATAAAGGTAGGCTTTATATCATTATGTCAATTTAAATTACTAAATTACCACTATTTTATTTAAATAGTTTTTCACAATAATGTTTAAAAGTTACTATATCGTAAACAGCCTAATATCTGATAAAATAATCACCTTTTTAGTTTTTAATTTTTGAATATTTCTTGTACAGTTTTTAAATTTAATATATTAATAATTACTCTAAACTATGATAAACTTTTTATGAAGTATATTAATAATATTCATGACGTACAAGTTTTTTAAATTTCAATAATTGTTTATGCATAGGTAAATTATTAATAAATAATTATTAAGAATTAAAAAATAATACATTTAATAATTTACACTGATCAAAATAACAAAATACAATATAATATATTTATCTAGATTGAGAGAGTTTTGTTTCTTAGTTTACTTAATACAATTGCAGTTGAGTTTTTGTTCTTAGTACATTGGTAGGTTTACTTTATTTTTAAAATAACCAGAATTAGAACCAGACTTGGGAAATGGGGATGATTCTCCAAACTACACCAAGATGAAATTTAACGGGATGGAATGAATTAGGTTGTAATTTGAAAATGTTCGTTACAGAAAGATTTTTGACGTTCGAATACGTCCACTTTGGTATTTAATTTGTAAACATGTCTAGTGAATAATAATTATAGTCATAATAAAACTTGACAGCGAACAATTTAATTTTCCCCTTATGATTTAATGAAAAATAAAAATGTCATCGTATAAAGAATAAATAATATTTGCATTTTTTTTA